AATATTCATAAGATAGTTTAGAATTTAATAATTAAAAATAGCATAGTTTTGTCAATTATTACTTCATATCGAATAATATAATGCTTTATTAGTCAAAATATTCATTAGAAATAACGATTTATATGTTAACATTATTGTTAGTGTTGTTTATAAGAAACCAATATTTTAGACAGGAAATTAAACAGTTATCCTATTAAAGTTTTAGCAATAACTTATTTTGATAAATGTCAGTAATTTAATAGTTGAACTCATGAGCCAGTTCAAGCTATACCATCGTAGAAAACCTTGGAGCACTAAACGGTTGTTTCATCCTAGTATGGAACTTCGCAGCAGTACACATTCACGATACTGCTTTGCGAAACTGGAACCAGGACTTATCGATTTCGCGTGCGTACGCTTAAGCTCTATACCGCTGAGCCGGCTGGCATCCAACTGTGTTAATGCCTAACTTCAACCAATCCACGAAATCACATCACCGTTAGAAAGGTTATACACTAAAGATATGATTGACTTATTATATTCACTGAAGTATATATTTCGATGAAAATCTACTAGGACACCTTCTGAAAGTAAATAATAATTAAGGCGAAATTAGTGAATGAAAATTATTAAATATTTTCATTTATATCTTTGAATTAAATTAACCTAACATCCTGATAATGTCTAATTTGTTTTTAAATAATATATCCTAATACTAATTAGTTTATAAACAGATAAGGCCGTTTCATCTTAGTACAGCACTCCTCAGCAGTGCACATCCACAAAGTTAGATATTAACATAGTTGAATGCCAGCCGGCTAAGTGGTATAAATTTTAAGCGTTCGCGCGCGAGACCGAAAGTCTTGGGTTCGAGTCCTGCACTTCGGATCGTGGGTGCATACTACTGAAGAGTCCTATGGTAAGACTAAACAGCAGTCCAGTGCTTCCAGGTTCTCAGTGGTGGTCTAGCTTGCGTTGACTCATGAATTCAACTATTGAAATCACTACAATCTCACTAATACCCTTATTCTGATCATAACTACTGTGTCAACTACTTGAGGGTGAAACCAATAGGCAGTCAGTGAATGCTAACTTGCAGATTAGTGTTTTTATGCGAGTTGTATGGATTAATAACTAAACATTTATGATTGTGTTTGTTTTTTGGTTAGTTAAAAACTATTTGATGTAAATACTGGCTATAGAAAATTTATTGTCAATAATCTTCTGACTTAAATTGAAACTTTGAAATTATAGAGAGTTATCCATTATAACGAATGTTAATTATACCTGTTATTAATAACACTTCATCAATTATGAACCTCTTAATAAAACGATGACATAAGACATCTTTTCGTAATAAAACGTTTACCTTATGTTGAATTCTGTCGATCGAATGATATTTTTTTTACAAAGAAATAGATATAACTACACAATCCTCTTATATGCAAAGTGTTTCACTTATCTGTTGTTACTTTTAGTTACTTTCTAACAACTAATTTCATTCTAACCTAATCAACATTAATCGAATTTGTGATATTTATACAGATAAATAATTGTTGACCAAACACTTAAAGATATAGAACCACGAGATTACTGTGTATACAAATAGTATCTTGATATTAATCTGTGCTAAGTAGAAAGTACATAAATGAAAAACAGAAATATGTTTTGATAGATTCTTTTAATGTTAGTCACATTCTTAAATCCATATAACTAAGTGAAAAGTTTCATCTTGATAAATTCAGTTTATTTCACATGTTAACCTTTAGTAATACCATATGATTAAGTGAACTATATTGTAAATGTGCAAACTATGGGGTAGTCATTTAACAAAATATAGGAAATTGTTTTTCTCTTAAATATCTGATAACATAATGAAAAAGGATTATTTTAGTAAACTGTTACCCGCAGTGTTGGCATGATTTCGACATGTATCAAAAATAACAGAAAAAGTTTATTGTTAAGGCAGTTTAGATCTATTTCTCTTAGACTTCTACCAACGTATGCTGATAACTGTTAGTCAGGAATACATATACAGTTTTGTTCAAAACCTATCAGGACTCATTGGCCGAGTGGATAGCGCGATGGCGTTTGAAACGAGGGCACTGGGTTCGAGTCCCAGATTGAACATCAACTCTGAGATGCAGGTACATCCAGTTGACGAGTCCCGAATAAGACGAAACGCGCTTCCCGGATTCCACTGCTAGCCACTATTCATCTTTGCTTACAGTGCTTGTGAATTAAGGCAATATCGAGGCAATAAATACAGTATGCACATATGCCAATTAGACACTGACCAGTCGCAGTTCTAAACATCGATGAGAAGATTCAAACAAACAATGCTAAGTGAATTAAAACGTATTGTTTTTCTTGTAGTATATGATACAAACTATATCATAAAACTGTACAATATACTACAAATTTAACTGGAAATCACTGTGACATTTTTCGCATTTTCGTCACTATACAAATCTAACTCCAACCGTACGACAGTGAAATATATTTTAAACCCATCAAACATTCGATCTACTGGTGAGATATGAAATTATCAAACAAAATACGGTATGTTTGCTGAGGTTGATGCTGTAAATGATAGTAAGTTGGTTATCTAGATCTCGGATAAAAAAACATGATCGAGATGATCAGTTTAAGGTACTACGGTATGTAACAACAGTTGAGCTTTTTATGAACATCGTTGCCTTAGCTATTAAAGATATGTGGCACTAAGTACTATTGTAGGGATCTATAGTTCGAAGACCTGATCCTTAGTATAAAAGTCGTACCTATAGTATATACGTTAACATTTGTGTAAGGTACCATTCAGCAGACAGTCATTCACTGATGTTATTTGATATGACTGTCAACACTTCTGAAGTGAAAGTAATCCATGTTGTCATTGACAAAAGAATTAAAGAGAAACAATGGGATGAAATCACATATGAGATAGGTAATTGTCCACTTGACAATTATGAGAATGGTGAAGAATACATCGGAAACATGAAGAATGATTAGAATTGAAATTGAGACAATTAAAATTATTAGAAGAATGTATTGCAAAACAGTTTATTAAAGTTAAGTGTCAGAGCCATGGAATGTTGTGCATCTGCAAACATTATAACGCCTGACTTTCGAAAAGGGAATATAAATCAATCAGCAGCCCGAATTCGGAACGTTTTGAGAACTTTAGTTTCATGCCTCACCTGATAAATCCTTTTATATCATCTGTGCAGTCAGACAATATGGTACGAAAGTAGCTTAATCTAATAACTTGTACGTTTCAGAAGCGCTAGCAATCCATATTTTCAAACTTGAACTCAGTGTGCAGAAGAGACAAGTGCAAGTCATCATTCTTTCATGTTTCTATCACTAAATTTTAATAAACGGTAATTTGATTTTGTAATACATTCTTCTAATATATTTAGTTGTCTTAATATCATTTCTAATCATTACTTTTTATCATTCTTCGCGTTTCTGATTTATTCTTCACCCTTCTCATAATGGTCAAGTGGACAACTATCCTTCTCATATGTGATTTCATCCTGTTATCTCTATTCATTGCTCGACTATTAAGGTACTTCCTTTAACACACGATGTGATGTAATCGTTATCTAATTTTTCTGTTAAACTATTTTATTTGTAAATTAACTATGAATATGATTGTACAGCACAAATAAATGATATTGTTGATAAGAAAATCTTCATCGGTGAACTGTCTTCGTTTTTTTTGGGATGATTGGTGAGATAAAAGACTATAAAAAGCATTATTCCAGTCAAGTAAATATATAACTGATTATATAATGATCATATGGATACTTTTTTAAGGAAAACAAATGACCAAACTATTCTACTTGATATCACTGAATGCAAGTTGAAACAACCAGATATTACAAGACATCTCTAGCTAAAGCAAATACGTAGAAAGTCTACAATGTTCCTTACTCATCGCCATAGAACTTGATGCAGAATCAATAAAGAAGGATCAATTATAGTTTCACTCATAACCATTGTTGGTCAAACTTTTCACATGTTTCCAGTATTATATCAAATAATCCAACTCAATAAATATCAAGAAAGTATGATAAATCTACATTTCTCAGTGATGGTTACAATCTTAACACAATCAATTAGATTTGGAATAACATTAATGATAAAACAATAGAACAGTCACTGCTAATTAGTGATCATCTGGTGCGAATATTTCAGTTTTATTATAGACTAATCACATCCAGAAGACCTCAATATTAATGACCTTCAATGAGCCACTGAACGATACAATTTTGAAATTATTAGGAAGTATCAGATTTTTCAAAATTTTAGCTACTCCTAGTTAATTGCGGTCAACTAGCATAGAATATAGGTTCATAACGTTTTACTTCGTGCCAACTACGATCCAGTATCTAACATGGTGTAGTGCAATTTCATGTCAGATTGACTAATGACCAAACTATAAAACAACTGGTTAAATTAAATCTGCACCAAGGATTACAGAATATAATATTGATTAGTAGTCAGTCATTCAGTATACTTCATGAAGTTTTTTTGTGACAGCGTAATTTCGGTATACACAGATTAGGAAATGTACTCCCAGTCAAGTCATATATTATTTGAATAATTTCATTTATTGAGTCTTATTTAAACTTGACTTTAATTTCAGTATGGGAGAAAAAATTTTTTCCACTATATTTCACCAAACGATAGTATTCATTTCAATACTTTGTACAAATGGATCACAATAAATCTGTAACACCCTAGTCTATGAAAATCTATAATAACGTGAATAGATTATCAATGAATGTGAGAGAAAATATTATTATTCAATATAGGAATCTATAATGAGGCTAACGTGTTTGTTACGAGTAAACAAATTCATCTATAAGCATTCATCTATAGTTTCCATAAACGTTTTCTAATATAATAAACAAATTACTTTAGTTTACCCAATTAGTACATCTTTTATGAAAATATATAAGCATATATTGGACTAGCTATTGAAAGTATACGAAAAGTACACAATTATTTTATTTTGAATTTGTAAGAATTACTACTTTTGAAAACTTTATTTTCATTAATAACACTTAGTTTTGAAGTTAATCATTTGATTGGTTACATTAGTTGAATATGATTGGCTAAGAATGTAGGAAAGATTATTTATACTATTAGAATTTGAACAGTTGATTATATAAGACATAAAAATTAAAAAAATATATAATCTATAGTATTTCATTGAATAAATTTATTTATTTATTTGTTACCGTCCAGAGCATGATCAAATAATTTTAAAACTTTTTTATGTGAAATGAACACTGAGAACTATCTAAATGTGGATCTATCGCACAATAACACTAATAATAATGTAAGTGAACAATTACATACAAATAGTAGTTCTATAGTGGAAACTATAACATTTCTGGGATTTATTGTAATTATAACTATCACTATTGGTGGTAATTTACTTGTTCTTGTTGCAATCTGTACAAAACATAAATTACGAAGAAATGTTACTAATTGTTTTATAGCATCTTTAGCAGCAGCAGATTTACTTTTGGGAGCTATTGTTATGCCATTCGCTGTAATTGATCTATTAAGATCTATCCATAAAGATGGTCTTCCAAAAAATCAGCAGGATCAGTATATTTTATGGCCATTTGGTCAAACCTGGTGTGATATGTGGCATGCATTTGATGTTCTTACTTCAACAGCTTCAATTTTAAATTTATGTGCAATTTCAGTGGAGCGTTATATTGCTATTTCAGACCCATTTAATTATCCTTTACGTGTAACACATTCACGATGTATTCTTATGATTATGCTTACTTGGGTATGCTCAATACTAATTTCCTTTCCAGCCATTGCCTGGTGGCGACATTCAAATAGTACATTTAATGTATCTGATATACATGGTGTACCAGATTTGGAATGTTTATTTTCTTCCGATAGAGTTTATCTATTCATTTCTTCGTGTATTTCATTTCATATACCCTTGATAGTTATGATTTTTGTTTATTGGAAAATTTATCAGAAAGCAAATGGTCTCATCAAGACACTGAACACAGGTAAACGGTTGATTTATCGAAAATCACTAGGTGGTGAAGCGATGATATTAAGAGTACATAGAGGCGGCATTACTAAACCACTGCCGTCAGCCTTGCCTCAAGGTGTATTACCTCATAATTCTAATACTTCTATTAAAGTATCGTGTTTATCTTCTTGTGAAATCCTCAACAATCAGTCACCAGTATTGTCGCCTACAGCAAATGGTAATAATGACAATAATCATGAAATATTAGAGTGTAATATAAATGAAAACAAAAATAATAAAAAACATGTTAAATTTATTCACCCTAGAAAAACTGAATCAATTCATGGAAAAAACACTAACTGCACATTATTCTCTTGTTGCTACAGAACTATATTTAATCGATTTAATGCAAATAAGTCATTAACACAAAAGGATGACAATGTGACAGCAACACCTGGGATGCAGAATGAAGAAGAAAGTTTACTGTCATCAAGAAGCTACCTAAGTGAAATAAAAAAACGAGTACAACGATTTACTAAAGAACGAAAAGCAGCTAAAACTCTTGGAATTGTGATGGGTGTATTTGTGTTATGCTGGTTACCATTTTTTGTTTATAACACCATGAAAGCTATTTACCCGTCAGTTTTAAAAACTCAAGAGAATATAATTTTTCCACTTGTCACATGGCTTGGCTATTTGAATTCAGGTGTCAATCCATTTATCTATGCATATTCTTTACGGGATATTCGTAAAGCATTTCTGGATATTCTGTGCACACAATGTAAAACACATTCTAATTGGTGTCGCACAAAGCTAAATCAAACTAGAGATACCTATGTATCACAATATACCGATGAACCAACAGACGCTATAAAGTCTATTAATTGTCAGTCTACAATGTCACTTGCTAATGGTTCAATATCATACACAGATCACAAATATTCCCTGGAATCGCCATCTTCACCATAGCAGAAGTATTTCTCTCTTGAAATGAATTTAGATGGAAATAATTCACGAAATGAATTGTTCGATAACAATAACAAGACAATATAGAAATTTATAGAATTTTTGGAATTTACTATAACATCTGACAGTCTAACTTCGAGTGTATCAGAAGGAAATTTCATTTAAAACATTTCGGCATGTATATGGTAACTAGCATCATTTATTAGTGAATGTATGAAAAACGATTCATAAATTCTATACTAAAACAGTCCATATTTTATCAGCAATGCTATTTCTATATCATAACACTATCACTAAAATCCAAAACTCTAGTTATAAATGTTTTTTTAAGACAAATGTTTGTACAGTGTACGAACTTATGTAAAAAAGAGTAGGTTTAATTTCGATCTTGTCTATCTATCTAAATCTGTCAAACTACTGAAATAATAAAATGATACTTAACTATGTTCATCACTGTGCTGTAAATAACTATATTCACTAAGTTTATCTAGAAGATTGGAAATTAGTATTCCTAAAGAAAGTCTGAAAACCATTGGATCTAACATATTTCAAAAGTTGAAATATCAGACGGCTTGGAAAATAGTCAAGTTAATATCTACTAAGAATTTATTTCTTTGACAAATTACAAATTCATAAGGAGAAAAACTCTCACGCAAATAAGCTACACTCGGTATGTTATAACGCGAATTTGACATGCGTAGTATTGTTCAATGAATAATGTTGGGTACATATGCTAACTCTTTAAAGTTCAATGTTATTGTAGTAAGCTGATAGTTTTGTACAGTAGTCGTACATCGATACTCAGAGCACAGGAGATTATAGAAATAAAATCATATGTTCCAACTAGTAAATGAAAAAATGTAGTACTGAGCACAAATCTTGAAACCTATATTACACAAATCGATTGATATTTGAATAAGTCAACGTCAAACAGGTAAATATTTACTCATGTTATTAGAAATGACTGTTAACACCCCTAAAATGACTGGTGTAAAGCGATATCATGAGAAATGTCTATTCACAGCCATGTGAGCAACTCTTTAGAAGTTCAGATTCCAACGTAAACACGAAACGGTTGTTGAAAATTAGGGCTGATATTTGGATTTGGAAATCACTGACTAATAAATGGTTTTCAAATGTTATTTTGATTTTGTATATATCATACATAAGCAAAAGTTTTTTTAATATTTCATTTTCACTTGTTTCCGATATTATTTGTGAAATTTAACATTAAAAATGTCATTTTAATGGAAAATAATCATTCCAGTATGATTCCCTACTTCAGACAATCAAATGTTTATAAAGCGCTGTTCAATCTTTTTCAATACATACCTATTCAAAAAATAACGATCCTGAACTTTATGTTACTCGGCTTGAAAACGTCTTAAACTTCCTTAACATTATATCATTGATCTGTATAATGAAAGGTAAAAAGATTCAGTCACTGAACAGCTGTAGATTATAGATTTGATGAAAAGGTAAAGCATACTTTTAAAATCACTTAGTATTGTTTGTTTCAATCTTCCCATCGATGTTTAGGACTGCAACTGGTCAGTCGTTAGTTGGCATATGTGCATACTGTGCGTATTGACTCGATATTGCCTTAATTCACAAGCATTTTAATCAAAGATGGATAGTGGCTAGCAGTGGAATCCGGGAAGCGCGTTTTGTCCTATTGGGGACTCGTCAACTGGATGTACCTGCATCTCAGAGTTGATGTTCACTCTGGGACTCGAACCCAGTACCCTCGTTTCAAACGTCATCGCGTTATCCACTCAGTCACTGAGTTCTGACATCCACCTACTTGTGCAATGGGGTGAAGTTTAAATTCATTTAGTATTGTTTGTTTGAATCTTCCTATTGATGTTTAGGACTACAACTGGTCAATCTCTAATTGGTATATGTGCATACTATGCGTATTACCTCGACCAGTTCCAGATAGGACGAAACACGCGTCTTTGATTCCACTGCTAACCACTATCAATCTTTGCTTACAATACTCTTAAAAGTTTTATATACGAAAGTGAAGTAAATAAAAAAATATCTTTATTTTATTTTTAAGAGCAATGGCTAAAACAGTGTTACAAACATTTGTGAGAAAATTGATAATTAACTTCGAAAAATGTTTTAAAGTATTTAAATAAAAGAAATTCAATTAAACAGTAAGTAAATTAAATTATACAGTAATTGTCATAGAAACTTACAAATTGCATTTTATTTATAAAGTGTACGAAAATTAGTTTAGGTATAATATAATCATTTGATTATATTTCATTCATTCCTTATGAATTGACTGGATATATATATATATATATATATATATGTCATTTTACCGTTTCACCACCACTAGCATGGATACAAACAATGTATCTAGAATTATTATCACTACCTTGAATAAAATTTATTGACCACAATCTATTGTTATCTACTTATTTCTAAAAAAAAGGCAGACAAATTTTCTTTGTAAGAATATTCAATGTAAAATATCATATAAAAATTTCGGGGGGGATTTGTTTTTTCATAATTTAACTGAATTATTGAAAAGAGAAAATAAAAGTCACATGTTTATCATTTTCAAGTTCATTCATAATGAACTTTTCATGTTGTCATGAAGTAATTATTATATGAATTATCAGATTCATTGAAATATTATATTTGTTATATATTGCTTAATTCAAATGGAAATAAGTTAAATATTAGCTTAAGTAATTTACATTTTGTATGAGATAGATACATTGCGCAGGTATCTAAACCAATGCTTTCAGGAAATATATTAATTATAAATGTAAATGATTGTAAGAAATAAAATGGACAGCATTTAGCAACTATACTAAAAAGATTAATGAAAATTTAGTTGTTTTATAGTTGAATTCATAAGTCAATTGAAGCTAGGTCATCATGGAAAAGATAGAAGCACTAGACGAACATTCCTTCCTAGTATGGGACTCTTCAATAGTGCGCATCCACAACCCCGCCTCACTAGATTCGAACCCAGGACTTATCAGTTTCGCGCGCGAGCGCTTAACCTCTAGACCACTGAGCTGATAGGTCCTGAGTTCGAATCTAAAGAGGCGGGTCGTGGATGTGCAGTGTTGAGGAGTTTCATACAAGGACGAAACGGCCGTCCAGTGCCCCCAGATTTCTCATTGTGGTCTAGCTTCAATTGACTTATGATCTCATCTATTGAAATTACTATACTTACTTACTTACTTACTTACTTAGTTACTTACTTTCGCCTGTTACACCCAATGGAGCATAGGCCGCCGACCAGCTTTCTCCAACCCACTCTGTCCTGGGCCTTCTTTTCTAGTTCTATCCAGTTCTTGTTCATTCTTCTCATGTCTGTCTCTATTTCTCGGCGTAATGTGTTCTTTGGTCTTCCTCTTCTCCTTTGTCCTTCAAGATTCCATGTGAGGGCTTGTCTTGTGACACAATTGAGTGATTTCCTCAAAGTGTGCCCTATCCACTTCCAGCGCTTCCTCCTGATTTCTTCCTCCGCTGGAATCTGATTTGTTGTCTCCTACAGTAACTTGTTGCTGATAGTGTCTGGCCATCTGATCCGAAGTATCTTGCGTAGACAGCTGTTGATAAACACTTGTATCTTCTGGATAATGGCTTTCGTAGTTCTCCACGTCTCCGCCCCATACAGAAGAACTGTCTTGACATTTGTATTGAAAATTCTAACCTTGGTGTTGGTTGACAATTGTTTTGAGCTCCAGATGTTTTTCAGTTGTAAGTATGCTGCTCTTGCTTTGCCGATCCGCACCTTCACATCTGCATCTGATCCACCGTGTTCATCAATGATGCTGCCCAGATATGTAAAGGTTTCCACATCCTCCAAAGCTTCTCTGTCAAGTGTAATTTGATTGGTGCATATTGTATTGTATCGGAGAGTCTTGCTTTTCTCTTTGTTTATATTGAGACCTAGTGCTGCTGAGGCTGCTGCTACACTGGTCGTTTTCTCCTGCATTTGTTGTTGCGTTTGTGATAGAAGAGCCAGATCATCCGCGAAGTCTAAATCATCAAGTTGCATCCTGCCTGTCCATTGTATCCCGTGCATTCCTCCAAATGTTGACGTCTTCATGATTCAGTCGATCACCAGGAGAAAGAGAAGGGGTGAGAGTAAGCAACCTTGCCTAACACCGGTCTTTACTTCAAACGAGTCGGTGAGCTGTCCTCCATGGACGATTTGGCAGTTTAGTCCATCATAGGAGTTCCGTATGATATTTACTATCTTCTCAGGCATGCCGTTGTGTCGAAGAGGCCTCCATAGTGTCGTTCTGTCCACACTATCAAATGCCTTCTCGTAGTCGATGAAGTTAATGTAGAGTGATGAATTCCATTCGATTGATTGTTCCACAATGATCCGCAGAGTTGCGATTTGATCTGTGCACGATCTATCCTTACGAAATCCAGCTTGTTGATCTCGAAGTTGGGCGTCTACGGAATCCTTCATCCTGTTTAACAATACTCGGTTGAAGACTTTTCCTGGTATTGAGAGAAGAGTGATGCCCCTGTAGTTGTCGCACTTGCTAAGATCACCTTTCTTTAGTATTTTGATCAGAAGTCCTTTTTTCCAGTCTGTTGGTACTTGTTCTTCATCCGAAATCATACTGAAGAGGATGTGGAGTATCTTGGCAGTTGCTGCTACATTTGCCTTCAGTGCCTCTGCCCGGATGTTGTCTGGTCCCGCTGCTTTGCCACTCTTGATTTATAGAATGGCCATGCTGATCTCTTCAATTGTTGGTGGGCCAACATCGATTGGGAGGTTTGTAAGTGCTCCTTCGATGTTGAGTGAGTTCAGTGGAGCTGATCGATTCAAGAGTTCTTTGAAGTGCTCTACCCACCTGTTTCGTTGTTCTTCAATGTCGGTGATTACTTTGCCTTCCTTGCTTTTCACTGATCTTTCTGGCTTACGGTAATTTCCAGCAAGTTTCTTTGTTGTATCATACAGTTGTCTCATGTTTCCTTCTCTTGCAGCCTTTTCCGCTGTCATTGCTAAATCTTCCACATATTTACGTTTGTCGGTTCTGATGCTCCTCTTCACTTGTTTGCTTGCCTCCGTGTATTCGGCTTGTGCCTTGGCTTTTTCCACTCCGGTTCGGCTGATATTGATTGCTGCCTTCTTGTTCCTTCTTTCTTCAATTTTATCCAGTGTACCAACAATGATCCATTCTTTGTGATGGTGCTTCTTTTGGCCCAGAACCTCCTGATATGTTGAAACGATTGCCTCCTTGATACATTTCCAGTTGCTCTCCATGGTAGTTCCCTCTCCATTGAGTAGATCATGAAAGGCCTGGAACCTGTTGCTGAGGGCTGTGCTGAATTTGTTGAGTTTGTCAGCATCTCGAAGAAAAGCCGTGTTGAACTTTTGTGATGTTGTCCGCGCCGTTGTCCACTGCTTATTGAGTTTTAGTTTCATCTTGGCGACCAGCAAATGATGATCGGATGCTATATCAGCTCCTCTTCTGGTTCTCACATCCTCCATCATCCTCCTGAACTTTTTGTTGATGCAGATATGGTCGATTTGATTCTGTGTAGTGTGATCCGATGAAATCCAAGTGGCTTTGTGTATGTTTTTGTGTGGGAATATGGTGCCACCTATGACCAGTTTATTGAAGGCACATAGGTTTTCAAATCTCTCACCATTTTCGTTCCTTTCTCCCAGTCCATGTTGTCCCATGAAGTCTTCGTATCCAGTGTTGTCCTTTCCAACCTTGGCATTGAAATCTCCCATCAGAATGGTCAGGTCTTTGGTTGGACACTTCTCGAATATCGACTGCAACCTGTCGTAGAATTGGTCTTTAGCGTCTTCATCGTAGTCGTTGGTAGGCGCATAGCATTGGATGACGTTCATTGTAATGCCCTCTCTCTTTGTATTGAAGGAGGCTTTGATGATCCTTGGTCCATGAGATTTCCATCCAATAAGTGCATTTTGTGCTTTTCTGGACAGCATCAATGCCACTCCTTGTGTATGTGGGGCATTTTATTCTTCATGACCGGAGTATAACAGAAGTTCTCCTGAAGACAGTCGTTGTTGTCCAACCTGCGTCCAATGTGTTTCGCTGATTCCAAGCACCTCCAGATTGTATTTTCTCATTTCTGCAGCAATTTGGAAGACTCTTCCGGTCTCCCACATTGTCCGGACATTCCATGTACCTATAAAAATTGTTGCTCTGGTTGTAAGAAGGTGCATCGGCCTCATGACTTCCGAATGAACTCGGCTTTCATCATGAGACGTCATAATTATTCCTTCTACTCTCAGGGCAGAGTTTGAATGGTTTGAATGATTTTTTCTGGTTAGCGTTTTTTAGCGAGTTGATTTTCTACGAGATGGGGTGGCTAACCTCATGCCCAACCTTCCTCCTTTACCAGGGCTTGGGACCGGCAGTAA